AGGACTACGGCTGTCACAGACTGCTGAGGAGATGCGGCGAATCTCACAGGTAATGGCAGGGGCCCTGAGGTGGGGTGAGCCTGGAGCAGGAGAACTCGCGTGTGTGTCTGTGTGGAATTACTTCCAAGGTAGTGCCAGAGAGAAAGACTGTCGAGAACCCTCAGTGAGCTGCATCAAGTAAATGGCGTTGGCCTCAGAGACCCTAACTGTCCTTCAAAGCCATGCTCGCATGCCACGTCTGAAGATCTCTTGTGTTTCCCTGGCTAAAGTAATATTTCCTTCCTCAGAACTTCTAAATCATTTCATCTGTACCTGATGGTCTGTGTAACTTTTTCCTTCTGTAAACTATTATCCTACAAGACCCTTAGGGACAGGCCTCTGCCCCTCCTTTTACAGCCCCCTTTCATCTAGCAGGGCGCTCGCACATGGAAATCAGTTTGCTGGGCAAATGAGCACTTCAGGATCATAGTTGGAAATACTGGTATCATAGATACATTCCAAAGTTTTAAAATTCTTTTTGTTTTTATTTTTTTGAAATCAGATTCTCTCTTAGAAAAACTTGAGTTGAATTCATCTGAATAACAACGTTAACGTGGGCTAGAGTGCTGTGGCATCAGCCTAGCTCACAGCAAACTCAAACACCTGGGCTAAAGCGATCCTCCTCCGTCAGCCTCCCAAGTAGCTGGGACTACAGGCATGTGCCACCATGCCCAGCTAATTTTTTCTATATATTTTTAGTTGGCCAGTTAATTTATTTCTATTTTTAGTAGAGACGAGATCTCGCTCTTGCTCAGGCTGGTTTCAAACTCCTAACCTTGAGCAATCCGCCTGCCTTGGCCTCTCAGAGTGCTAGGATTACAGGCGTGAGCCACCACGCCCGGCCTAAAATCGAGACTCTTAATGCAGGGGCACAAACTCACGTGCCTATAGCAGCCAAGCAGGTAAAAGTAAATGGTGAAGCCTCATGGATTAAAGAGATGATGGGGAGTCGAGACCCATGTAAGCCACATTAAAGTCAGTTTGCACTGCTTTAATCTTTCTGAAGAAATGACTGTGTCTTAAAGTAGTGAACCCAACATTTTAACAGTAAGTATTTAAATAGTGTTCAGCTCCAGCAGTTCTGTTTCTAGATATATATCCAAGAGAATTGAAAATATATGTTCACATAAGAACTTGTACATGGGCTAGGCATGGTGGCTCATGCCTCTAATCCCAGCACTCTGGGAAACTGAGGCAGGAGGATTGCTTGAGCTCAGGACTTTAAGACCAGCCTGAGCAAAAAGTGATATCCCAAAATAGAAAAAATGAGCCAGATGTGGTGGTGGCACATGCCTGTAGTCCCAGCTACTCGGAAGGCTAAGGCAGGAGGATCACTTAAGCCCAGGAGTTTGAGGTTGCAGTGAGCTAGGCTGACGCCACGGCACTCTACCCGGTGTGACAGAGTGAGACTCTGTCAAAAAAAAAAGAAAAAAAAGAAAAAAACTTGTACGTGAATGTTCATAACAGCCTTATTCACAATAGCAAAAAAGTAGAAACAGCCCAAATGTCTATAATCAGATGAATGGTTAAATAATATGTGGTACATACATAGAGTAGAACATTATTTGGCTGTAAAAAGAAATACAATACATGGATGAACCTTGAAAACTTTATGCTAGGCAAAAGAAGCCCGTCATAAAAGATCACATATTGTATGGTTCCATTTACAGGAAATATCCAAGATGGGCACATCTGTAGAGAGAGAAAGTAGTTTAGTGGTTGCCGGGGGTAGGAGGGGGGTTAGGCATAGGAGAGAGTGACTGGGGTTCCTTTAAGAGGTAATGAATGTTCTGTATTAGTGGTGAACGTTGCACATCTCTGTGAATATACTAAAAACCATTGAATTGTATGCTTTAAATAGTGAATTTTATAATTAGTGAATTTAATCTTTAAGAAAAACAAAAAAGGAAACAACCAAGAGTCTCCTATGTAAGCATAAAATTTTCTCTATTAACTATGCCACATAAAACTGGATTCACAGCACTGTCCTATAGCTTCCATTATCTCCCACTTGAAGATAATCTAGGTTAAGCTTTGGAAATGTGTTAATTGACCAGCAGTCCCTCGCTGTGCCTCGGTATAAGTAGCTCTCCTCTTATTTCAGTCACTAACGTGAAGAATGAGACCATCAGTCTCCATCCTTTGTTCCATGTGAAATGGAGATAGAAATTATATCCAACTTTTGCCCTTGTTGATTGGTAACTATGTATTTTTAATACTTGAGCAACATGGCAAAACCACAAATACCAAATCAAGGATTTGCACTTCTTTTGAACTATATGTGTACAACCACCCTCATCACTACCAGCATCCTGTCCCCATAGCCCAATAAAAAAGCACCCATACACAACTGTATCAACTCCCTTTAGACAGGGAAAAAAAAAAAAAAAAGCACCCATATTCAGTTCACTTAATACCTGATGATTCTTCCCCCAATCTGGTCTTTTTTTTTTTTTTTTTTTTTTTTTTTTTTTTTTTTGATTTGAGAATGTGGACTTTGGTGGGAATGATCACGTGTGTCCGGTATGTTGTGTGCTTCCCAGGATGGACACCGTGTTTTAATCCAGGGGAAAGTGTTTCTACGTGACAGAAGAGAACCCAGAAAATGCATCCAGCTGTCGCTGGACGTCTGGACTGCAGTGCTCCTTATTCTGCAAACAGTGTTGGAGACCGTGGCAACACAGGGGTTCCTGGCATTCTTGATAATAAATTCAGTAGTCAAGGGAAATAGCCCTTTTTTCTTTTTGTTTTATTTCTATGAACCCTCAAAGTAGTTTGATTATATTAAAAAACAATTTACCCCATTCAGCTCATTCCTACCACTCTCCTTTGTTATAGGAATTTATGAGACGTCGTACTCTAACTGTATATAATGTATATATAGCCTCTTACTGTTTTGTTGTTTGTGTACTTGTGTGTTTACATAAAGAGCAAAAGAGGTAAATAATATGATTAAAATGAAAAAACATTGGTCAAATCCTTGACTTAGTGCTGGCAACCTTTCCTTACTATTTAGAAACGAAATATTACAGTCCCCTTCCCATTATTAGCCTCATACTTTGTCAACATCTATTTATCCAGTTTCTGGATTTCTCAGGTCTTTGATTTTGTACTGCCTCCTGCCTGCTTTTTCGGCTGGTTCACGGCTAATTAACACCTTTCTCACAAAGTGGGCAGGAGAAATAAAAGGCCCTGAAATCTACACTGGCCCTGTTTGCTCCTCGTTAGCATCTAATGAAAACTTCCATGGGCTGATTGCAATGGTGGTATTAGGCAAGTTTGGAAGTGATCTGCGGGGTTTGTCCACGCTGTTCCTATTTTCCATAAGCGAAGTTGGCTGCACTGCTTGGAAAGACAGGCGAAACAGCAGAGGGAGCACCAGGCTGGTATTAGGGCACTCGACTTACACCTTGCTAGGCCGCTAGCCTTGTCGTGGTCTCTGTCTGTCGCGTGTTTACCTGTCCCTGGTGGTGTGGCTGGATTAGTTGCTCTCCCAGGCCCCTGACACTGGCATCTCGTGGTTTCCTCCCCTCAAGGTCATGAAACGAGTGCGCACCGAGCAGATTCAGATGCAGTGTCCTGTA